ATCCCATTCTTGTGGTTTTACATGATACGGAGATTAACTGGTCATGTATTCATATATGAACATAGGAAAGTTATGTCCAAATCATTCTACTCTCTTTTTTATAAAGAGAGAGAGAGAGAGAGAGAGAGAGAGAGAGAGAGAGAATTTTTTAATATTTATTTTTTACTTTTCGGCGGACACAACATCTTTGTTTGTATGTAGTGCTGAGGATCGAACCCGGGCAGCACGCGTGCCAGTTGAGYGCGCTACCGCTTGAGCCACATCCCCAGCTGCTCATTCTACTCTTTCCTAATCCCATTTTATCTCCCCTCGTTTCCCTTTGTCTAATCCAATGTGAACTTCTCCTCGTCTCCCTTATTGTATGTTAGTATCCACATATCAGAGAGAACATTCGGCCTTTGGTTTTGGGGAATTGGCTTATTTCACTTAGCATGGTAGTCTTTAGATTTATCCATTTACCTGCAAATATCATAAAGTCATTCTTTTCATGGCTGAGTAATATTCCATTGTGTACATATACCACATTTTCTTTATCTATTCATCTATTGAATCGGACCTAGGTTGGTTCCATAACTTAGCTACTGTGAATTGAGCTGCTATAAACATTGATGTGGATATGTCACTGTAGTATGCTGATTTTAAGTCCTTTATGTATATACTGAGGAGCAGGATGGGGTTAAATGGGTCAAATGGTGGTTCCATTCCAAGTTTTCTGAGGAATCTCCATACTACTTTCCAGAATGGTTGTACCAATTTGCAGGCCCACCAGCAATGTATGAGTGTATCTTTCCCCCTGCATCTCTACCAACATTTATTTTTACTTGTATTCTTGGATTTATTGTTACTCATATGCCATTCTGACTGGAATGAGATGGAATCTCAGTGAGTCTTACTTTGCATTTGTCTAACTGCTATAGATGTTGGACAGTTTTTCATTTATTTGTTGCATGGTAGCCTTATTTCTGAGATCCAAACACTAGGAATAACCCAYGCAGCCATCTACAGGTGAATGAATAAACAAACTGTGGTGATAAAAGGAACAAACCATCGATAATACAATAACACGAATAAGCCTCCAAATAATTATGCTAATTAGAAAAGCTAGACAAAAATAGAGGAGAGTATGTAGTTTTTGTTATATAAAATTTTTGAAAATTTAGACTAAATTATAACAGAAAACAGATCATGGGCCTCTTTGTTTCAGTTTGTTGAGCCACTAGGATTAGGAAGGGCCATGAGGTAAATTTGGGAGGTGATGGTGATTGTTGTGAAGATTTCATGGGTGCAAACATGTGTCAAAACTCCCCAAATTACATATAATAAAATAGACTTTAATTAATCTGTTTGTAAAACTTAGCCACTAGCCCTGTGAGGTTTGCATTTCTTCCATAGGGCTCTATATCAGCTCTATGTATGATTCAATTAGGTGTTCTCAATGGGAATATACAAATACATAAAGAGAACCCAGCAAAATGCCAGTAAACATCAATGTTCCCCATTTTAGCATACATTTTTCTCCTTATCCAACTCCTAGAGGAAGAAAATGAGGTATATATTAAATTACCTTTTCAGTTAATGTCTGAAGAGAAAGAAAAAACAAATCAAACACCAGAATTAAATCCACCTGCTGTCATAAGGTTAAGAATTCAGCAAAATTAAAGTTCTTTCTGTTGATTTCATCCCCTCACAACCAGAAATGTTCTTAATGTCTAGGTAGCTTTCTTCATTTTCTGCAGCCTAGGTGACTTCTTAAGAATAGATGTGACTCAATGAGCTCCTTAAAGTCTAAATCAACTCAACATTAAGTCTAGAGCGGGCGTTAATTTTTAGAAGGCCCAAAGAGTAATAAAACGCTGAAGATAATCACACTAACCTCACACTTATCAAATTTAAAGGGCATTTATCCTGTACAAAATTATACTCCCAGTCATTATTATTATCAAATATAATAATCTAATAAACTCTCGAATAGAAACTCGCAGACCTATAGGAAGGTAGCTGGTGGTGGCTTTAGTTCAATAGAATGCTATTCAAATCAACTGCACACTTAAATTGGAAGACATTTATCAGCATGAAGTTAAATTTATCACCATGAACACAGCATGGCACATTGTCTTTTCTCAGACAACAGTGTTAGAGACACTGATACTATTTTGCCAAATATAGAATTTGCAGTGGTTCAGTAACCAATCATGAGACACCTTTGACTTGATTCTTTGCTTTCTAGAATGTGCAAAATCTTTAAAGTTGCAATTCAATGACTGGCATAATCAATCTGAACCTTGAGCTTCTCTAGAACTGCCCACAAGGCATCTCTTTTGAAGTTTAAAAGCAGCAAATACTGATAGTCATTATGTCTAGCTTTCCTAAGACATTCTATCATTAAATCCTTGCTGCAAGAGATGGCTTTCCAATCTTCCCAGTATCTAATAAGGCCCCTGCTGCTTGAACATGCAAATTTAATGTAGTTCAAGGTCAAATCATAACGGCCTGCGTCTGAGGCTACCTTCTCTTGCCAGTGACTTTCTTGATGATGGCACAGCAAGGGTAGCTTGCTAAACCTCATCTTGGCTGACATCTGCTGAGGCCATCCAGGAGGCCACCCTCTGGGTGAGCCTACTGATTTCCTATAGACAAAGCTACACTCATTTTCAGATCAAATTTTCACAAGTTTAAGAGCTTCAAGTCTTTTACCAAAATTACAGCAATTAAAAGTTTACTGTACATTTGTAAAAATTCAAATCAATGGTCTACTAAAAGTGCCTACAAAATGTCAAAATAAAAACTGTGTATAAAGTCTAAAGCCTAAAACCACAGACTCTGGCTACCCCAAAGCCTCTGTTTGTTTTTATGCTGCTCCCTCAAGTTTTACTGGATCCATGCAGCTTTAATGATTAGATGTTACATTCTCCAAAACATAGACTTCCCCCTTGCTCTGCATCCATCCTCCTCTTACTCTTCATTGATAGAGCCAATTTTTGTTTAYAAAATTTATAGTGGTATGAACATAGAGACCAAGTACTGCAGGAAGTGCCTGTAGTACCAGTTACTGGAAGGAATGCTGGAATACTCGTGTCCACTTAAGAAAGGAAACATTCAGAATAGACACAAAGTGTTATATCCTATTAGCAATAATAGATTTCATAACATTTTTTAGTTCAGTACACTCAATACTTTCCCTTTCTCAATTTTTCTTATGTATTTTTACCTCTAATCTTTGCAACCTTGATGGCTCCTCTCAACTTCCAATTCACCAATGAAATTTTTCATGTTTTCTTAAGATGAAACATCTTTCCAGAGGCTCTGGCCTGATGCTTTCTTTATAAAGTGTGGTACATACAAGTCCCCTRAGGAGCCCATCTATATTATCTAAATCTTTGAGGGCAGGGCCATCAGATATGGTTTTATTGAAGTTCCCTGGATGATTTTCTAGTTCACTAGAACTTTTTGTTTTGTATCTGACACTGTTTACTTTTTGCCTTAAATTGTGATTATTTGACATTTATTACCCTGCAAGATCCTTGTAATCTTTTTTTTTAGAGTATCTCCAAATATAATCTTGCATATAGTAGCTGCCCAACAAAAAGTTAAATTTTCAATCGCTTCTCAAAACAACTAGATCTTCTTCCATGTTTTATGACTAAACTATCTAGAGGAATACAAGCTTGAAATGATTATAATGATCACTGCCATCATTTAGTCAGCATCATTATGTATTGTCTTTACCCACATAGACAAATATTGGCAGTCTTTCCAGTCTACTTAAGTACAATATACTGTATTGCAAATTTCTGAGCATTATTTTGCTATGCAATAGAAAATAAATTTAGTGTTTCCTAAGCAACCCCTACTGTACTTTCAAATGCAGGAAGAAATCACTAGAYAACAAAGGCTCCCTAAAACCTTAACACAATTTCAGAATGCACATGCTATCATTTAAAAAAACATATGATGCTTTACAACTGTTATGGTACAATCTCTTTGCTTACACTGACTATAGTCAAACTTTTATTATTTTGCTGCAATGACCAGGCAAAGAAACAGTTGTATTTWCTCTCAGCTTACTAATACACTGTAGGGCATGACTTGCTGCCCACTTCCTGGTCTTGGGGCCGCACATGTGGCTGGGACAGCGCCTGGCGATCAGCCAGGACTGGGTGCTGTGGGTGGTGAYGGAAAAGGCAGACCACATCCAGGATAGGTCCAGGACTCTTCTGCCCTCGTGGACAGCTCATGCCTTCCCTTACAGACTATGGGATGGGTGTACACATGAACTCACTCCACCCCTCTGACCTTTATCCTGATTGGTTCCTGTGCAGTATATAAGCTGGGCTGGGTGCAAGCGGCCAGTTGACCTTTACCTTTCTTGGCTTGTCCTGGTTGGGGCTTGCACCAACAGAGTGACATGGTGATCATGCAATCATGGTGTACCTCCCATAGGATCTAGAAAGCTTTATTCTTACTGTGACACTGCTGGATTTCCACAATAATTTAAAAGGTTTTACACTAATAAGCTATGTGTTTCCACTTAAGAGAATGTTTATAAAAATCAGACTCAATTCTTAAGCCAAACTCCTTTACCAAGCCTACCTTGTTATAATGGCAATAGGTTATTTTAGCACTCAGGTATCCTATTCTTGGGTGTCTGGAAAATACATTCTCCTATAGCACACATAATTTAAAATAAATAGAATATTAAATACTCTGAGGGAGTCGCTGCCTTCCTTCTCATCAAAATGAATTTAAAAGCAATATACTGTAGCTGATTACTAAACTGAAACAGGTACATGTACTTGAAATGCTTCATTGAAAGCTGTCACTCTTATTTTTAAAACTTTTATTTCACAAATATCATATAATAAAAAGCAGTACACGCTTGATCATGTTTCTCAAATAGAAGGTTCTTTCAGTTCTTCAGGTCATCCTTCTTCCAGAGGAAAATAAATAAGTCACAAAATCTACAGCATATATAAAAAATTTTCTTTCACAAGAACAAAAATATTTGCAGAATTTAACCCTTAATCATTTTTCCTTAGGAAAAAAATTTCTGATTTAACTTTTTTCTTGTATTTTTTGAAGAAGATACTCCATTTGTAAATTCAAGTTTGGTTGGCCCTTTCTAGTCTTTTTGCTCAATATTTTGAAAGCTTCCATTTTCTTCTTTTTGTAGAGTCTTTGAGCTTCTTCTCTCTCTTTTTTTCTCCTCTCGAACTCCTGAAATTATTAACATATGTGAATTCACTAATCACAAGCAGTAGAAATAACTTAGAAGTGGTCTTGAGATAGCTATCACCATGCAAACACTCTTCAGGTTTCTCTCTTACATTCTGTAAAATGTAAACAGCTTCCCCAAATTGAAGCAGTATATAATTATTTGTCTTCACACTATAAAAATACATGGTATAACATGGACTAATGTAAAGTTACTGAACCATTTTACATATTTATATGCAAATAAAATTAGGTCAAAGAGAGAAGACATATATATCTATACTAATTAAATCCACTGAAGTTAGAGAAGACTAAAGATTGTCTAGTGTAATTTTCCAAATAAAACTAAAAACTTCATTTCCAAAAACATATATCTGGTATCCCTTTTGTCATCTGCTTTGCAGTTTAATTTTTTAAAAAATTATTGACTACTTATGATATATGTGCAAAACATTCTGCTAAACATTATGATTTTGACCATTAAGAACTAGAGTTATTTTGATATGTTAAAATAAATATTCAAGTCTGAGTATAAATAAAAAAAATTCAAAGTTCTAAATGGTTCTGAAAAGCCACTACTCAAAATTTACTACAATATTCTTAGTAAATATAAAAGTTAAAAGTTCTTAAATAGTGTAATATGCGTACCATTTTCCAATTTCTCTGTGATGCACATAGCCAAAAAAATAACACATTACACTTATATTTACTCATAATTAACAAAATACTTTCACAGACTATGGGATGGGTGTACACGTGAACTCACTCCACCCCTCCGACCTTTATCCTGATTGGCTCCTGTGCAGTATATAAGCTGGRCTGGGTGCAGGCGGCCAGCTGACCATGAAATCACAGTACATTCCATTGTCTTAAAACTTTTTATGCTAGCTGGGTTCAGTGGCACACACTGGTAATCCTAGTGAGGCTGAGGAAGAGGATTACAAGTTCAAGACCAGTGTCACCAATTTAGGAGACCACAGCAACTTAGTGAGACTTATTTGACAACAACAAATTTTAAAAAAGGCCTGAGGAAGTGGCTCCAGTGGTAAGGTACTCCTGGGTTTAATCCCCAGAACACCACCTCCCAAAAATTAAAAATAAAAATTTTGACGCTAGTTTTCTATGTGCATATTACAGGTGAGGAGCTGAGCTAGTGATTTCTGACAGGATTGTTCAAGATCTCTGATAAGTGGTAGAGCTGAATCTTTTATCCAAATACTGTTAAGTTCCCATCATGCTACATTATATTACTTAAAATTACATTTTTTTTGTATTTCATTTATTTTTATAAGTACTTGAGTTTTGAATCATTATTTGTAAATTTAGGTATATGAAGCCTAGTTTACCCCATGGAGTTTTTCTAAGCAAAATATATGTATTTTAATATCTTTACCATCAATTATGGGTCTGTACTTAATTGTTAATGTTCTTAACAATTTCCCATGTGTAATGGTGTTGAGCTTTAAAATCTGAGATCTACTAGTTCTAAGAAATGGCTAATTTTCATGATATAAAACTCTTTTTATATAACCCGTTCTATATAAAGGAAATTTTAAAAGTATACAAAATGTTTAACAACATAAGGGTCCTTACTATGCTTCACCTGATATACTGTTTCCAAAGATGGCAAACTGTGCACGCTTAGAAAAAAGCATAAGGGTCCAGTATTTCCAGAGAGATATTTCTACTTCATCCCAGTCTGCCATTGTTAAACTCTTAAGTTTTCTTAACTACATATATTTATTTTAAATCAAAAACAAAAAGGCAATTGAACTAACCATAACCTCTATAACAGGAAAATTTTGTCAAAGCTATAGATAMTTGTTGTACTCATTGGAAAAGTCTATTAAAATTCTGATTTTCTGAATGATAACTGAGTAGTAACTTTCTGCTAAGTTAAAAAATAGCTAACAAAATAATATATAAAATAGTAGGTTTTTTAGTTGGCAAAAATCAATTCTCAATATTTTATTCTAACACCTCCCCTGATTTTTACTTGTTTTAATGCAAGATTATGAAAATCATCCATATTTTGTATTTTAGTGGTTCTCAAATTTTATTAAGCATAAGAATCTCTTTGCCAGTTCTTGAACCATTATCCCAGGTGCACATATTATTAACCCCCAAGCAATAGCTTTAAAATTCTATTCTTGACTGAGCAGTATTTCTTGAGATAATATAAATAATCAATGAATGTGAACATGATGCAATTCCATGATTCTGCTCATTCATTCATTTAAGAAATATTTACAGTTGGGAGGCAAAGGCATAAGGATCACAAGTTCAAGACCAACTTAGTGAGACATTGTCTTAAAAACAAAAAAGGGCTGGGGTTGTAGCTCAGTGGTAGAGTGCCCTGAGTTCAACCCCAATGACCCCCCCCCACAAAAAAAAAGAAAAGAAAAAAGAAAAAAAGAAAAAATTATATACATTTACAAAGAGAATACTACCCCAAGAAACACAAGTTATATTCCAGATAAATAAGGGAAAATGTACCCAAATATTGTAAAAGTAGAACTTACTTGTTTCTTGGCAGCACGTTTAGCTTGTATCCGTTCATATTCTTCTAGTGCTTTTTGATTTGATGTTTTCTTTTTATTCTTTTTTGGAATAGTCACAGAACTTTATAAGACAAATAAATCAAAAGTTTTAAAAATGACTTAACCAAAATTATGATGCAATTGTGTCAAATACATATTTATATACAATCTTTTCACCCAAACTTTTCAGTCAAGTTATAAAGAACAGAAAATAGACTGTCACTTCTCGTTCACTCTTTAACTCTGATACCTGAGTCTCACTAATGCATATTAATTGAGAATCGAAGAGAGAATAGGAAAAAACAATTTGCATATTAATAATAATATTAATAAGATTAAAAACATACTTGCAACTTGCAAGTATATGATTATGAATCATATACTTGTTGATCAATTGTACTTCTTCTTCTGTAAAATGTCTGTTCAATTCCTTAGCCCATTTATTGGTTGGGTTATTTGTAAGATTTCAACTCACTCCAGTCAGAAAGACAATCATCAAGAATACAGGCAACAATAAATGTTGGCGAGGATGTGGGGGAAAAGGTAAACTCATACATTGCGGGTGGGACTGCAAATTGGGACAACCACTATGGAAAGCAGTATGAATATTCCTCAGAAAACTTGGAATGGAACCACCATTTGACCCAGTTATCCCACTCCTCAGTATACCCAAAGGACTTAAAACCAGCATACTACAGTGATGCATCCATGTCAATGTTCATAACAGCTCAATTCACAATAGCTAAACTATGGAACCAACCTGGATGCCCTTCAATAGATGAATGGTATATGAATGGTATATATATATATATATATATATATATATATATATATATATTTTCAGTGGAATATTACTCAGCTTTAAAGAATGAAATTATTGCATTTGCCAGTAAATGGATGGAGTTGGAGAATTTCATGCTAAGCGAAATAAGCCAGTCTCCCAAAACCAAAGGCCAAATATTTCTCTAATATGCAGATGCTAATTCAATATAAGGGGTAGGGGGCACTAGAGAAGAATAGAGTTACCTTAGATTAGGTAGAGGGAAGTGAAGGGAAAGAGGGGAGGGAATGTGGAGATAGGAAGGATAATAGAATGAAACAGAAATTATTAGTTTATGCATATTTATGACTGCATGACCGATATGATTCTACAACATATACGCTCAAAAAATGAAAAATTATATTTCATCYATGAATGATATATCAAAGTGCATAAATGCATTCTACTGTAATGTATATCTAATGGAAAAGATTTTTTTTAAAAAGATTATGGATCAATTACTGGGTGGTAAATGAAAATTCTTGGAAATATTTCACCATGGGAAATAGAAAAAGCTTTGAAAGATCCTACAATGTTAAAAAAAAATTTAAAGACAGACTAAAAAAATACATTACATTGAAAGACATTATAGAAGTTGCTTGTATGAAGAAACTTTAATCTCAAAGTTCTTTGACCACCTTGTCTCAATTCTATTTCATCCACCACCATGCCTTGGACCTAGTTTCCATTTAGAAATGTTCAATATTACAGCATTTTCACTTCTTTGAAAGTGTTCCTCCTTCTAAGGCTAATCTAAATACCTGGGATACCGTTTATTTCCTTAGGATACCTGACTGCGTAGTAATCTTTCTTTCCTTTGTCTCTCAACTTATCACTATCTTCATACCATAAMTACAATAAAACATTTTTCTGCAACTCCCTTGCTAATGTAAATTTAAAAAATTCATTATCCATTATTAGAGTATATGTCCTCTTAGCTCCTAATCTTTCCCCCTAACTTTTCATAGCCAAGTTCCTAGAAAGAATAAAGCACAGACTATGACTGTCACTTCCTATTTACTTGTTACCTTTTCAATGTCTCACTTCTGGTCCCCGACTCCAATCAAACTACCCAGGCCAAGATAGTGATGCCCTCCTATCCAAGGATCATCAATGGGCCTTTTTGGTCTCTTTAAATGACTATTCACTACTTTTGAAAAGTCTACTCTCTTAGTTTAGGTGACCTTTTTCTCTTCTGATCCTTCTCACAACTTTCCTCTGCTGAGTTAGCTGTCCTTCCATTTCCCCAATTCTTCAATTTTGACAAGTTTATTTATCTTCTTCAATGACAAGTTTTTTTTCAATCTCAAAATAAAAAGCTTTTTTTAAAAAAAAAAAATCTTAACTTGTTTCCTGATTTAACTCTTCTCACTTCAATTATCACTGGTAATAACTCAAATCTACAGTGCTAGTGCTTACTTTTTCACTGCACAACTCCATTGTTTAGTAATATGACAGATWAGTCTACTGAAAAAAAACAGAAGTTTTAGTCTCTATGCCTTTATCCCCAACTAAACTTTTTTCCTAGAGTCCTAGCACAAATAATTCACAGTGTTAAAAGAACAAATTATGGACCCAAGTATCATCTGACTTCTTTGACAGTTTAAGTTTTTATTATGTTTTTACCTGAAACATGTGGAGAAACAGTTTATACTTAGCTCTTATAATACCAAAGTGTTGTGGAGCCATGTCATTTTTTAGTTACAACCATTTCCTATCCTTTGAAGAAAATCCAGATTAGTAACAGGAGTAGTAGCAATTTACACTTATAAGCACTTACCATGTGTTATACATCCTTTTAAATGCCTGATATAAATTAACTCTGTCATCACACATCAAGATATACTAACACCATTTACCTCAGTGAATGATCTACTCTACAGCTGTGCAACACAGTGGCTCTCAATTACACACTTATTATCCTTCCCAGTTTAAAGGACACTAGGAAACAATATGCTAAGTTTGGCTCTACAATCTAAGCTGTTATTGACCACACTTACAATAATTCTCAAATATTACTTAAATATATTAGTAATAGGAGTTACTATGGTCCAAGTAAGTTACATGTACATAAGGCAGAAAGCCAAAGYTCAGATATTTTAATTTTAACTTCATCACTTCTTCATTTATGCTAGTCTAATTCAGTTATTTAAAGTTAAAAAGAATTCTTCCAAGAAAATATGATCACCTACTTACACCATGACTTCTAAMTGTGTTAAATAAGAAAAATCACAATTCCTATGTAAATTTTTCTATAATACCTTTCAGAAAATACTACTTACATTTAAAGTAAAAGACTTCAGAAAAAAATACATACTTTTTCGTTTTGCCACACTGTTCTGGTTGAGGCTGCTGAACACTACATTCATCTTCAGACAAAGTCTGGTCAATGCTATGCTCTTTTTCAGGCAAAGGCTGGTCAACTTGTTCTTCTGACAAAGGCTGGGTAACTTTTCTCAGTTGCTTCCTGAGTCTTTCTTCTTCAGCTAAATAAAGATGTTTCAGATGATCTGGATACTGATCTGTGAATTGGGACTCCTGTGATATTTGAGCCTTCTTTTTCTTCCATAGCAATTTCTTGTAATGTTGTTGAATCTTTAGTTTTCTCCGAAATGCAAAGCCTTGCCCTACATTGAAAGATATAGGTAATGATTATTATCACAAAACATAAATTGAATGAAAAGATAAAGCTGTTAATTAAAAATGAAATCTTAATACATTATTACATTCAAATGTTACAATTATTTTGTTTTATTCTTTAAGAGAAATGTGTCTGGCAACAAATTTAAGCAGAGGGGCTGAACAGCAAGTTGGCCATCTGCAAAAAGATTAGGCAGAAATTTGTCATACAACCACCTAAAAATCTCAAAAACTGACCAGTTCAGACTGTTGCAAACTTGAATTTATAACTGTACTCACAAATCAAAAACCAAATTCCTCTAAGTCATCTAACATAATCAGGCCCTTCAACAAATACGTACAAATAAACACATCTTTTTACCTTAGAGAAACTTACTACACAATGTAATACACAACTTACTACAATACGTTGTGTAGTAAGTTTCTCTAAGGTAAAAATACTGCAACCAAAAGAAAAAAAAAGTGCTCGACTTTCTTGCACAACTAACAATTATCAGAAGACTTAACTTATTTTATAGTTATGCATTCAAAATGGAATCTGAGGGACCTAACAGCAAGAAAAAAAGAAAAAAAAAGTTAAGAAGAGCCGTGAGATGCAAATGGCTATTGCGATATCTGGAATCAGAGAAGTTTGAGAGCTGTATTTCTGGCCCCATCCTGCACTCCATTCTTACCATAATACAGGTTCAAATGTGTAAATGTAACACACCCAAGTGGACCTGCAGGCGCTCTCCCCTTAGGGCCACAGAGGAAAGGAGTTCTGATATTATTTCTAAGGAGACATTTTAACCCGATTTAAATGATCAACTCTACCCCCATCTGCCCATCCAGARCTCTGGGAAGCGCACGGTTTCAGCGGTTTTAGGAATGGCTTCCTCTGTCCCCAGCAGGACCCAGGTTTTGGTTCCTAAAACCTTCTTTCAAGCTTAGTCGGGTCGCGCGTCCCAGGACTTCGCAGGCCTAAGGGCTTCTAAATGGCTGTCTTCTTACGCACCCTCGCGAACGCTGCCCGAAAAAGCTTGAGGATAGTTAGGCCGCCAGGTCCTCTTTTTCCCATTCTTATTCCTGCCTCCGACAGGTGAAACCCCCTCAACACGCGTCCCCAAACCACYGGCTCTCAACCTCGCTGCCGGCCTGACGGGTGCCATAGTGGACCAATTCGGTCGACAAATCCCCACGACGGACGTTCCTGAAAGACGTCACCAAACAGAAGCAATCCATCGCCAAACTAAAGGCCGACTCGGAGCTCTACTGATCAGGTCTGCACCACTTTTGTCAAGAGTCGATGCCGCGCGGCCATGTTTGCGCCACCTACAGCCCGGGAGGTTGAGCGTCATGGCTACTGCTTGCCCTCTCCCGGCGACCCAGGACCTGCCCACGCTGCATGCCAAGTTACAGGGGCTGCTGCGGTTCCTGAGGGACGCTCTGCCTATTTCCAACGCGCACACGGTGGACTTCTACACAGAGTCCGTGTGGGAAAAGCTGGTTGACTTGTCTCCGGAGACTGTGCTGGCTGCGTTGAAGAGGTCCGCGGCGGAGGCGGAGGCGGAGGCGGAGGCGGAGGCCGGGTTTTCGGAGGCGCGCCCCCTGGTGGAAGCAGAGGCGCGAGCAGGTGAATGACGGAGTAGGGGGGGTGGGAAGGGAGGAGAGATGGGTCCTGTTTGCACCGCGAGCAGCCAGGTGGAAGCACACCTGACCCGGGCAACGGCGGGGCGTCGTTTTCCCGGGAAAACAGGGATCAGTTTACTGGGGACTGGGTGGCGACAGCCCTTCTGCGATGTCTCTTTTGTATTGGGGTGTATTGAGACTTACCATAATTTAAGGAAAACAAGGGGCATTCATTTATTCATAAAACAATTTTTGACTTGAGGGAAACCARGGTACAGTGCTTTTACTGGGTTTATAGATTCTAGGTGGAAACATGGTAGGAAATAAGGTTAACAGAAAAAAAGGTAATTTCAGATGTTACTAATGGCCARGTAGAAAAATAAAAACAGTGTGAGGCGACAGGGCTTGTGGAAAGAGCCTCCCTAACCTAAGATGGGAAGGTATTAGTTGGCCTAGAGCCAAGGGAACAGGATTGCTGACCATGGGAACCACAGGATAGACTAGCCAGGACCTGAGGGCAGCAGCAGGTGCAGTCATGGAAGTACACAGAGACCAGGTCACATAGAGCTTTCTGGGCCATAGAGAGATTTGGTATTTTAAATGTGTTGGAAAACCACTGGAGTCACTTAGACAGCTTGGTGACCTAATCTAACATATATATTTGAAAAGATAACTCTGAGGRATTTTTGAAGAATAAATTACTCAGTGGTGCAAAAGCTAGTTAAGAGAKGATTTCATGCTGTGGGGCWCGCTTGTCATCCCAGCTACTTAGGAGGCTGAGGCAGGAGRATGGCAAGTTCAAAGCGAGCCTTAGCAATTTAACAAGACCTTCAGCAACTTAGCGAGACCCTGTCTCAAAATTTAAAAAATAAAAAAAGGGATGGGGATGTGAATCAGTGGTTAAGCACCCCTGGGTTTTATCCCAGGTACCAAAAAAGAAAAAAGAGAGAGAGAGAGAGAGAGAGAGAGAGAGAGAGAGAGAGGGGAAGAAGAAGAAGGAGGAGGAGGAGGAGGAAGAGGAGGAGGAGGAGAGATTAATTAGTGTAAGGAAATGATGACTTATTTGAATTAGGATGGTAGCAGTGACGATTTTGCGTATCTGCTAATGCAGTGGTGAGTTTTTGTGGGCTCTGTAGTTCCTGTCCCAGAGTAATGTGAATTCTACTAGAATCTATATTTTGAAAATAAAAAAACATTTTTTTTTGTATCCAACAGCAATGAAATCTAGAGAAGATTGTTAACTTTTGAAATATCTCTAGACCTAAAAGCTTTTTTATACATAATATTCAATTATCCAAMTGCTCAGCCACTTCTTGTATTTAAAAAAGTGAGTTTTAATAATCTGTGTTATAAGAAATCTTAATTTCTGATGATGGAAAGATGGGCATTTCCCTCATTATTTTATGAGGTTCATTATTTGTGTTAGAGAAGAGCATTAGAATCATTTTGACTAGATTTGTTCTTTTATTAAATAGTTGTGAGTTATTATGGACATTATAGAGTAGCTGTGAAATTTGTAAACTTTGGAGTCATGGTTCAAATCCCATTTCTACCATTTATCAGTTCTGTGATCTTGGGGAAGTTCATTTATTACTCCAGTCAGCAAACATGGTAATCAAGTGTCAACTGTGTGCCATGTACTTTTCTAGAAGTTAGAGAATTGTAAAGGGATGAAGTAGGACCCCCCCCCCMMAATTTTTTTTTTAAGTGCTACAGAGAAAAAGTACATAAGAGAGAAATAAACAAGGGGAGACAAGGTCTTGTCCAAGCAAGATCTCATTGAGGTTACTCAGGAATAAAAGATCTAWCTGAGGAGGAAAAGAAACCATGATAATAGCTATTTGAATTTTTAAAATTAGTTTTTTGTTTGTTTGTTTGTTTGTTTTTTAGCATAGTGTAAATTATCACTGCTCTGGGCAATATGCTGAATTATTAAGTACTAGAAATGGTTGACTTTAAACTTACTGCTATTTGAGAGAAAGAAATAGGCAATCCTTGAGCCTCCCTTCTGCAACCTCTGCAGGGTCATTATTTTTCAAAATGTATGTTGTCATTTGTAGAGCCCAGAATAGGTCAGTATTCTCTAAGCCTCCCAACCCAAGTGTGCCTGATTATTTTTATTTTTGCAAAAATTACTTGATATTTTCTGAGTAAAATGTTGAGCTAGGTGTTGTGAATACAATAGCGAACAAGGTATAATCTTTTTTTCAAAAACTTGCATCCCGCCAGGCACAATTGCTCACCAGAGGCTCTGGAGGCTGAGGCAAGATAATCGCCAGTTCAAAGCCAGCCTCAGCAACTTAGTGAGGTCCTAAGCAACTCAGTGAGACCTTGTTTCTAAATAAAATATAAAAAAGGGTTGTGGATATGGCTCAGTAGATAAGTGCCTCTGGGTTCAATCTTCAGTACCCAAAGAAAAAAGAAAAACATTCCTTTTTAGGAGACTTTTATTTTAGTTTCTTCCCATTTCATGTGATCTGGTAATTTAATTATTATGCTTTTTATAAATCAAATAATCTGTAAAAATCCTGTGCTGTTAGTATTGCCYTAGAATTGCTTTTTGATTTATTATATATTATTTAATTTCAACTATGTGAGAGTGCTCTTATCTAAAACTAGTTGGTTTCATTTTCCAAATAAATGTTCAACATTTTTTAATCTTTGAGATTGAAAATGTGTGGGTCTCAATTGTTGTATTGCTTTCTGAGTTAATTGTTATATAAATTTCCCCTACAAAATTCTAGTTCCGTATCCCACAAGTTAAGCTGTTCTTCATTTATTATTTTAGTCATCTTCCTGTTCCTAAGATTTTGGAGCTGAAATAATCTTTCATGACAACTGTTTACATACTAGGCACCTCTGACTTAATTTACTTTTTAACTAATTTATTTTTATTTAGCAAATATATTTTTAAATTTGTTTCTTTGAATATTTTTGTTTCTCTCAAGAGAAAAGAATCTGATAGATTWTTCTACCTTTATATTTAATGTCAGTTTTATAAATATAATTGTGAAATTACTTTTGGCATGATTAAACGAACTTATACATTCAATGTGATGTTAGTATTGGTACARTAAAGATATGAATGTCAATTTCTTGTTAATTATTTCTTATTCCTATMCAAAAGCATGGTTTAAATGTTTAAGTAACTTATTAAAAATTTCATATACAACTGTAAATTAAGCTGTAATGACTTAATCAAAAAGTTTCCTAGCACATAATTGGATGATATTAGTTTCTTTTAAAAGCAACAGGGATATATTCTGGTTTTTTCCTTGGTAGAGTATAGGAAGATAGATAAACTCAAACATTCATAAAATTTTGCTAGGCCTATCTTTAATTTTCAAAAGTTGATAAGACATTTTAGCATTTGATTAAATTTTATTAAAAATTTATCAAAGATTGAAGTTAAAAGTCAACTGTTAACAGAAGCCAAAACTTTAAAATGCTTAATTAACCGGTAATCCCWGTGGCTTGGGAGGCTGAGGCAGGAGAATTGTGAGTTCAAAGCCAGCCTTGTCCAAATTATTGAGGCCCTAAGCAACTCAGCAAAATCCTGTCTCTAAATGAAATACAAAAAAGGGTTCAGGGTATAGTTCAGTGTATTAAGTGCCCCTGGATTCAATCACCAATACCAAAAAAGAAAAGTTTAATAAAATTTGTATTGAATAAAGGTAAATTTTTATGTTAGAAAACATGTTCAGTTCAACTCAACAAGTGAGCATTGTGCTGTGGGACTTTTATCCAAAAGGAAAATAACAACTATGAAGCCTTTGCAGTAGCACTGGTGAGAGTTAACAGGGTTTGAACCACAGCAGTGATAGAGGGAGGAAGTTTCCAAAGGAAAGACATTTTTACATCCAGATGGAGGCGTGGGTAGATGTATAAATTGAGGACACAAGAAATATTTAAGATAACGTGAAGATTTTTAACTTTAACACTACATGAAAATGCTCTTAAGACAGGAAATAAGAGAAGGGTTACGGTAAAATGACAACATTCAGTTTGGTTCTGAACCTTTGAACTGAAGAAATCTTTAGAATATTTGTGTAGAAATTAATACAAAAACTTATGTCCTTTGAAGATTATTATGAGGAAGGCACCACTGGTTTYTTGAAATTCTGATCCATAGGCTGTGTGATTTTGAGTTTCCCCTCACTCCTGTAACACAAATTTTGGTGCATAATTTCATTTTATCTTATGTCACATTCTAAATGTTCTAAATCACTCTCACCTTATCCTACAATTATAAATATTTGGGCTGAAATGAGATTTTATGCTTCTCTAACAGGCTATTGAAGTCCTCGTAGAGGCCTCAGTGATTACATCCACAGAGTTTTTAGGAGAGTTCGTCTCTCTTTCTGTAGCTGATGATGCTACAATAGTAAGTGTATTGAAATATTGCTGTCATTCATGCATGCAGGCATTCATTCGTTCATTCATTCATGCTGTGTGCAAAGTACTTGCTTTACAGTTAGCTTGTAGCAGTAGTATTTTGTCTCTAGAAATAGATTACACAGTGAATCTTATAAAAACATTTTTATTCCCCTTTCAGAGACTTATCAGTTATTTTACATGTAAAAATTACTTTTCAATTTCTAGAAACTTTTAAATCATT